GTTGCAACCTAGAAGACACAAATTTGACTAACAAGTTATAAGTACATGTTGCTCAGCATATCTTAAGCTCAAGGAACTGAAGAACAAATTCAAACCTCGAGTTGCTATAATCAAGGATGCTTTCGGTTTTGCATTAGCATAATCAAACGTTCTGGGATTCCCGTTCTTCTCAGAGTCAGCCACAGTTTGTTGTGTTCCACACAGTCAAAAGCCTTTGCATAGTCAATGAATCACAGATAGACATTTCTCTGGTATTCTCTGCTTTCTGCCAAGATCCATCTAACATTAACTTTAATATCCCTAGTGCCACGACCTCTTCTAAACCCAGTCTCACATCTGGAAGTTCTCTGTTGATGTGCTGTTCCAGTTGGTTTTGGATCATTTTCAGTAGAATCTTGCTTGCATGTGATATTAATGATATTGTTCGATAATTTTTAAATCTTCTGTAATTTTGATACTATAAAATAGAGGCTATGGTTGTATATCACGTGACTGTACAGTGTCACTTTAAAACAGCTTTACGTAGTTTTGTAATTACTCCCTAAAATGTTACTTGAGGAGAAAACATAAAAAGGTATTTTAAGGATAAAAGTAGGTTGAAAAGTTGGCATTCTTCTGTCTAGCTGCCCCAACTGTCAGCATGCAGTGCATTCCTCCAACCATCAGGCGGCAGTGTGGAACTCTTAGCTCCCCTCCTGCTGCCTGAGCACCGCGTCTTTGAGTCGCAAGTGCGTGCGAAAGGCGGGGCGAAGGTGGCCATTGGGCTGCTGGGAGCACCTGAGGGATCTTGGTGGGTGGTGGCTTTCCGCACTTATTTGGAAGGCTGACACTCACGGCCTTTTCTTCTTTCTCGCGTCAGTTGTCCATTTCCGCACCGTTAGCCATCGGCCCCAATATCTGCTTTCCGGGTATCTCATCCCCGCCCTCCGCCCTGCCTCACCACGGGGCCCCATGCAGTCGCTGCAGAGTTCAGGGGTGGCCTTTCGCAGGATCCTTTCTCACTTCCCCGAGGAGCTGAGCCTGGCTTTCGCCTATGGCTCTGGGGTGTTCCGCCAGGCCGGGCCCAATGCACATCAGCAGGTGAGGCGTGAACTCTCCCATGCTGCTCCTCCCCGGTGACTCCCGGGTCCGCCCGCCCGTTCTGTTGCCTCCTATCCTGTCAGAGCCGGAGAGCTGCCTGCCCCGCGGTACTTCTAAGTGCAGATTTTACAGTGTTGCTAGTATAAAGGCTGAGAGCCTGGCCAGAAGAGTACACTTCGATCTAGAGCAAGATATTTAAGTGGTGGTGGGTCCCGTCGAGTCGGAGCCAATCCAGAGCTGAGCCTCCGGCTGGTTTTTAGAGACAGTTTAATCGCATGTGAGATTACCCAGCCTTCTGCAGAGCAACTGGTGGATTCTGACCCATGTGCCTTTGGAATTGCAACACAACTTCTTACCATGAGGCCACCAGAGCTCCCTAAAACGCATTAAGAAATCTTAAAAAAAATTGGGAAAAATTGATATTTAACCTTCCCAAATCTTCAAGCATTTGTGGATCCTTGGTGGGGAATCCAGGGCAGGCTATGGCATGATTAAATGGTGAACCTCTTCATTTTTCTTTGTGTCCTTTTTTTCAGGCCTGTGTACAGGCTCTTCACTCCTTTTCCCACACCATCACCCTCATTCCCTACATTCAAGCTAATCTGGCTATCTAACTTTTAAATCTCCAATCAGATCCTTGTTAGTAATGCCTTCGTTAATATCCTCTTCATTTCTCACCTGAACTCTCCATAACTTCCTGTCAGCTCTCCCTGCCTTTACTTTCTCTCTTTGTTTTTCTTTCTTACTCTCAGCTGTCCTATAGGAACATACTTTAGCTTGGTGTGGCAGATGACTTCCCTCTAGTCTCACCACTCCACTGCCTGTTTTCTGTCGGGTCATACCAAATGAAATGCTGCTTCTAGAGCATGCCTGAGGATGGTCTCATATCCATAGGGGCAGTTTCCTCCAGCAAGACTCTTACCTACCTCCCTGTACTTAGCCTATTGTTTCCACCAGTATTAGGTGGTAGTTGAAGAAGGTTCAATATGGATTGAAGCTCAATAACAAGACAAAGATTGTCACCGACTGGGTCAACTGGCCGCAGTATGATGGATAGAGAAGAGATTGAAGTTGTTAACAGTTAACAGCTTGCTCGGCTGCATAATCAACACTCTTGGCACCAGTAGTCAGGATATCAAAAGGATGACAGAAGAATAGATACCTGTGAGTTGTGCTGGAGAAGAGTCTTGAACATACCATAGACTGCAAGAGAACAACAGGTCTGTTTTGGAGAGGGTGGAACCAAGTTTCTCCTTGGAGGCTAGAATTTTGAAGTTCCGCCTCAGATACTTTGGACATGTGTCAGGAGGGAACAATCCTTGTAGAAGGCCATCATGCTCAGAATGGTGGAAGGACAGCGCAGGAGAAGAAGACCCTGGAGGAGATGGATTGATAAAGTAATTAGGGCAATGAGAATAGGTGTGTCAGTCAGTGAGACTGGCTCAGGACAGGGCGGACTTCAGAGCTGTTGTACATAGGGTTGCTATAAATCAATGGTATGAAACAATGAACAACAGCATTCTTCAAGACTCTGATTCATCATCTGTAGAAAATTTCTCCTTTCAAAGTGACGGTACATTTTGCATTTTGTCTCTAGGCAACTTTGTTTGAATCATCTCTTCTTCCCAAGAGGCAGTTCTTTACCTTTAGCCTAGGACATAGTAGACGGGCAAGCTCATGGTAGGTGTTCAGTGAGTGGTTAGTGAATTAGGAGTAATTAGCATAAGGGTTTTTTTCCTTTATGTATGGTACATAACAACAACAACATAGGATTTTGAATGTGTTGTATTACTTGATTTCCTGGAAGGAAATTGAAGCACATTTATGGCAAGAAGCTGCTCTGCAATCCCAAAGGCATACAATTCAAGTCCACCAGCTGCTCCATGGGAGAAGGATGAGCACTCTTCTCACATGTGATTAACTGCTTCTGGAATCTCACCAGAGGGTCAGCTATGGATTGGTTCTGACTCATGGTACTCAACATCAATATGTAATGTAGTATTTGCACAAACATACATTGGCACCATACTACTATTTTTTTTTTAACTATAAAGCTGTTTAGAGTTTTATTTATAGAATCTTTATGGCACCATACTACTTTTACCGGCCACTTGTTATGTGTCTTTGGCTAGGAATTTACTCAATGCCTTGTTTCCTGAAAAATGTGAATAGTTACGTTGCACCATAGGTCAGAACCGACTCATTGCTGACCTTCCAATAGATTTCCAGAGACATTAATCACACAGAAGGAGATTGCTCATCTTTTTCCCTCAGAGCATCTTGTGGGTTCAAATTGCTGGTCTTTCGGTCACCAGTATAACTCCCTACCAGTAGGCCACCAGAGCTCCCTGTGAGTAGAATTAGTCCTACGATATAAAGGTGTTTTGAGGATAAACTGAGTACCTATGCCTAAGATATAAAGTATGTGGAAAATACCTGGTACAACATAATACATTATTTGTACTGATAAAAGTAAAGGTCAGTTTGGTTCCAAAGACTTGCTTAATTTAATTAATTTAAACCTTAATTAAATTTAAAACAAGAAAATTTCAAGTCTTAATCATAATGTGATAATGCAGATTATGATTCAATTGGCAAGATAAAAGTTTGCACTTTATTTTGTTGCCTAAGAATTAATGCTGAGATTGTTCTCTTCTTTGCCTCACAGAATACTATGCTGGACCTTGTGTTTACAGTGGATGACCCTGTTGGATGGCATTCAAGGAATCTGAAGCAAAACTGGAGCCACTATTCTTTCCTAAAAGTTTTGGGGCCCAGGGTTATCACAACTGTCCAAAACAACTTTGGTGCTGGAGTTTACTACAATCCATTGATTAAGTGTGATGGTAGGGTAAGTGACTTTGGACTTTTGTCTTACCTTGCATGGGGACCAGAAGACATGAAACACTTGCTGCAGAAGATCAAAAACGATAACCTTCAATATAGATTTCATATCATCTTCAAGAAGACATAAATCCTCCCCAGTAGTGACATGATAGTTGGAGAAAAGATAGAAGATGTCAATGATTTCACTTTAATTGTGTCCACAGTCAACCCCTTTGGTGCAAGCAGTCAAGAAATTAAAACTGTTGCATTGGGAAAATCAGCTGTCAAGGATATCTCTAAAGTGCTAAAGAGCAAGGATGTCTCATTTAAGCCATAGTCTTTTCCATTATTTCATAAGCATCTAAAAGTTAGACAGTGAATAAGGATGACAGAAAAAAAAGAAATACCTTTGAATTGTGGTGTTGGAGAAGATTACTGAACATCCCATGAACTACCAAAAGAATAAAGAAATTTGTCTTGAAGGAAGTAAAACTAGGGTGCTCCATAGAGTCAAGGATGATGAAGCTTTGTCTCATATATTTTGGGAATATTGTCAGGAGTGGCCAGACCTTAGAAAAAAAGGGAGGGTTAGAGCAAGAACAACCTCAGCAGGATAGATTTACACGGCAACTGTAACAATGGGCTAGAATATATCAGAGATGGTGAGGATAGCACAGGATAGGGCAACATTCACAGCTGATATTCCTAGGGTGGATAGAAGTTGTAGTCAATGGCACCTAACAATAACAACAACATAGCTCTCTTAACTTTGTTACTGGAATACCAACTAAATATGTGTGTTCTTGCAGGTAGGGACTGCTCAGATCCCTGCTGATGTCTAGAACTCGGACGGAGAAGGACTGAAGTCCTCAGCTTTGCTTGATTGTGTTTGTCCTTTGATAATGTGGTTGGATGTTTCTCTTTATTTTTCTCCATTTCAAATTATTCTCAAATTTTAGTGTACATTACAGTCACGTGGAGTGTGTGTTAGAAACACAGTTGATAAGTCCCAAGAGTTGTTGATGCCATAGGCCCCAGATTTCATTTCTAAATAGTTATTCTGGTGGTGTTGTTGTTATGTGCCCTCAAGTCGTTTGTGAATCATAGCAACCCTTTGTAAAACAGCCCTAAACACTGCTGGATCCTGTGCCAATCTTATTGTCTCTGACACACCAATCCCCATTACCCCAGTCACTGAATCAATCCATTTCATCAAGGGCCTTCCTCTCTTGCACTGTCTCTACCCTTCCACATATAATATCCCTCTCCAAGCACTGGTCCCTCCTTGCAACATGTGCAAAGTGTGTCAGATGAAACTTCAGAATCCTTGCCTCCAAGGAGCATCCTGGTTTAACTCTCTCCAAGATGAACCTATTCGTTCTCTTAGCAGTCCATGGTTTACTCAATACTCTTCTCCAACACAACAACTCAGAGGCATTAATTCTTCAGTTATCCCTGTCATTGACCAGTTCTCTGACGCATGACAAATGATGCAAACACCATGGCCTGTATCAGGCACACCTTAGTCTCTAGACTGACATCATTGCTCTTCAGTAGTTTGGAAAGGTCTCTGACAGCAGACTTTCCCAACACAGTACATCTTTTAATTTCTTGGCTGCTAGTGCCAAGAGTGCTGACTGTAGAGCCGAGTAAACTAAAGCTGTTTACAATCTCAGTCTCTTCACCACCCATCACGATGCTGCCAAACAGACCAGTGGTGAAAGTTTGGTTTTTATTTTGTTTTGTTTTGTCTTGTTTTGGGTTTTTTTGCCAATTTTATTTTTATTAAATTTTATTAATTTTAATGAACATTTACAGAGATTTGGGGTTCCCATTCATTCATTGTTGCACTATTTTCTCTACCCTCGCCCCCCAGTTTGTTCCTCTTTTTGCCCCCCAAAAGTCTGTTTTAATTGTCCCATTACCACAGTGCTTGTCAAAGCCAGTTCTGATTAATCTCCTTTGCCAGTGTGTCCTTTGCCATTCCCTATCACTCCTCCCGGAGAGAGACTTCATCCTGATTCATAAGGAAAAGGAGACGGCGTATTCTCTTAGCTACTTCCTGCTGAAAAGGGACGCTGTGGGTTTCAGGGTGAAG